GGAGGTATGCTAACTTTCGCGCTATCTGGTTATTCTTGCCTTTGAAGGACTCTAACTTGAGCTTCGGAGCCCTTACGCCGGGTTCTCCCCGGAGCTTCTCTTCTCCTCACGTTTCAGGTCCCTGTTACTCAGTTCAGAGGCAAGATCATCGACAGCTAAGACCGGCCAGATTGTGCTTCATCAGGTCGGGTCTGTAATAATAAATCCTGAACCAACCCAGGAACTATATAGATCAACATCTGACCCAATAAGACTGGATTATAATCGACCCAGGAACTATATAGGCTCAGTTTGGAAGGAGAATACAAAACCTTGTATCTTGTATTATCTTATATATATTTGCACTGTACATATTTTCAATTGTTTTGAGGCTTTTTAAATTGCAATTGAACTTTTGAATATCCAAATGCAAGCTGCAAAAGCAAACACTTGTATCCACATCTTAAGTTGACTTTAGGCCTAGTTAACTTCAAAGCAATATTCGATCAATGGTTGTTCCTGATCTATAAAGATGAACACAGAACAAATTTTGGGCTAAAGACCCAAGCTTTTGGGTACTTTGTTTAGCAAATTTAATACTTACTAAATGTTTCAATCAAAAGCCAGCTTGAGGCAAGTACCTGTGTCTGTAATTCAGTATTAATTCTTAAGAGCTTTTTTGGCCTTCCTCATTTCACAGTTTTGTATTTGATAATTTTGACCTACCAAATGACTTTAGTACTCCAACTTTCTACTAGTGTGTGTTTGGTTTGAAAGAAAATAAGAAACAGTTTCTTAGTAATCAAACAAGGCCTTAATGGATAATTCTGATTTAGAAGATGGGTTTTCAACAAATAGTTTACAATGTTAAAAATAAATTATGAGGTTGTCCAAATGCAAGTTGGAGCGCTTCACTAGTAATCAAAAGGAGAATGGGAATTAGTTGTTTCTATTTGAGTATAAATTCCATTGCCACCTCATCAATCGTATTTAGGCCCCATTTGGTTCGCAGGATTAGAGGTCTGGAATATGGAATTGGAATGGTCTGGAATCGGAATCCCATTCTCATTCCTGTTGGAATGGCATTCCCCCATTTGAGGGAATGGTCATTCCCTGCCTCTCCCTTGGGAATGAAATCCCATTCCTGCTGATCCTAATTCTCATTCTGATTTTTGTATGAACCAAACAGACTATGAGAATGGAATATTCCAATTAGGATTTTGAAGGATTTTGATTCCAATTCCAATTCTAACTGCAAATTAAACGGAACCCCATTATTATATTTTTTGTGAAAATTTATATATTAATCAGAGTCAAGGATCAAAAATATCAATACTATATGTCATATTCATATTGATTGATGATCATGGAGACGCATGGACACATCGATATAGAAGGACTTGGGGTTTTTCTAAATTTTGGGATGATAGAAGGCTTCCCTCTTATACTGTTAAAATGAAAAAAAAAAAGCATTTATATTGGTCTGTATCAGGGGACACCGATATACCCTATTTGTATCCATATATAATATGTGAAGCAAAAGAGTGATGTTTCATCAGAATGTGAAGAAGTAAAAGATGGTAAATTCAAGATACGTTAAAATTAATTATAGCATTGAATGTGCTACTATTTACTTCAAAAGCAAAATACCAACCCAAATTTATTGTGAGAAGAAATTACCATACTCATAAAAATAAAACAGTGGCTTTTATATTATTTACAGGTTAAGCACTTCACGTGGGCAACTGGATGGCCACATAAATATTTTATTTTAAAAATTTTATGCATTAATTCATAGTTAATTGCTATAAAAGGTGTAGCAAAAAAGGAGGGTTTTAAAGGTGAAAAAACTTTTCACATAATAACATTTAATGCTTTTTTTTTCACTTCACTTTCAGGTCAAACTTGTAGCACAGATTTATTAAAAACAATCAATAATTATTATATTAGTAAATAAGGTGATATTTAATGCAACCAATAAGCTTAAGCTGCTTTTTTTTTTCTCATCTCTTCAGTTATGTTTTGCTTCTGCATTCATTAGATTATGACTTTTAATTTACTCAAAAATTTCAAGAAAACAGGTAGCCATGGATGTGAAGGTCCTAATGGAGTCTATGGCTCTAAATATACAATAAATGCTAATTTACTCCCATGTGTGGAATTAGATATATACCCATTAGTAGAGTTTTGATTTTTGAGAGGTCATGATCTTTTCTTTTTCTTTAATTGGGTAGGGACTAGGGAGAAATGCTTTTTTTTTCTATTTATTGTTTTTGTTTTTTGAAAATATCCTTCACCACTCATTGGGAAGATTCGTACCCTTATGCATGCATGATGATTGATGACATCCTAAGTGTGACCAAACTTAACAATTCTCATACGTCAGGAAGCGTTGAAGAAAAGAGCAAGGAACACTTAGAGTTAATCATAATTTAGGTTGCATTTGGCATTTCTTATTTTAAACATCTATTTCTTTTTTGTAATTAAAAACTCAGTATTCATAAGGGCGTTTTAACTACAAAAAAGAGATAAATCCTTAAAATAAGAAATGTCAAATGTAGCCTTAGTGCTCATAAACATATAAATTAATTCTATCTATATGCCTCATGAGGAATATTGTGTCAGTACAATAAATTTTACCTTATACTAAATATATGCCTCAGCCCTCATGTGCTAATGCTGGTACCATAGTTTTAAAAAAACAACTCATGGCTCCTGCAGTTTTTACTCATACCATTCAATTCATGTGTCTCAAATGAAGGTTCAAAATATTGCAATATATTAATGTATATAGTATGATGGTTCAATTATCAATTTTTGAGAAGCATTGACATATTCAATATTTAGAGTTGATTTATTAGATTTAAATTAGGCTTCTATTATGATATCGTAAAAACATTATATTAGAAAAAATTGTGACCAATCAGATGGTATTTATCAAAATTCTTAGGTGGATTTTGATTGGCCAAAGTTTTGCTAGTACAATATCTTTACTAAAACACCCGATATCCAATATGAGAAATTCGGGAACGATTGTAGTTTTATCCCACTACCTTAGTGTTATTTTATCGTTTATTTATTTATTTTTTTGGGAAAGCATGTAGACAATTTAATAGGGTACGATCTCCTCATAGTTCCCTAAATAAGCATTCTAATTGCTTGGCCCTTCTTTGAGTAAATGCAATATAATTGATTGTAAATCATGGTTTGTTAATATAATTTCAGAGGAAGTTCATTTATGCTCATCTCGTTTTTCATAAATGAGAGGTAGCAGGTGGAAAGGCAAACCTAGCTCGTTTTTCTTCTGTAGTAATAAAGGTTTTGCCAGACTCAGATCGGATGGATTTGCATGGTTCGACCATTCGAGCCAGTGACCAAAAAGCTCCAAATTAAATATTTTCTTGGATGCCATTGCCATGCATTCTTATAAATGTATACTTGGTGACATCCTAAATATATGTCCTCGTAGAGATGTCATAGTTTTCAGTATTTTATTGTTTATGAACTGAAAGAGCCTTAAAGACAATCTGGAACCATTTGCTATCTTTTCTCTAATTTTCTTTTGAGCAAGCTGAGCAGTCAAACCAGTGAACAGACCATTTGACCCAAAAACCTAAGCAAACAAGTGAAAGAAAACTGTCTGTGGCATTTTATATATAAAACGCTACACCAATAAATAAATACTATGCAATATTCAAGGATGTCCACTATTCATTCTGTGAAGCAAATTAACCTCTTAAATGAGTACCAGTCCCAGATTATTACATTAAAAAAATGATCCCAATGCATCTCATAAATTGCAATGACAAAGCCAGATTTTAATTACAAAATTTGTATTAGTAAGCTAAGTAAGTTAATACTACTGGTTCAAACTTCATTTCATGTGGTGTTCCATCCAAATTTGAACCATCAAATAGGGTTCAACGCATCAAATACCCAAACTAATGATGACACCAGAAACATGATTGCCCATTATGGGTTCTGGAAGATAAGATTTACACGCAATGGTCTAATGCAAAATTTCCAAACACAGTATTCAAGGTCCAGTAATTGGATGTTCATCAACATCTATAAATTAATAAGTTTTTATTTTCTACTCTCTACCCATTTGGGCCTCTTACTTTTGTAGCAACTTATCTAATTAAAGAAAACACAGAAACAAATTATGCCTCTGTCTCTCTCTCTCTCTCTCCATCCAAACCTCCAAAGCTGCACCTGTTGATGATCTCTTCTTTATATTTTGAGTCTTTTGACAATCTGCATCAAACCCAGAGAAGCAGCCAAGAGAAATAGCCAATTATTTCAGGTCACAGTAGGTGCTCTACCTTTTGACCTTATTATTAATCTTCTCACTAGAAAAGACATTCCTAGAAACAACTCTCCCCTTCACTTTACAGTTTACACAGCTTTTTGTTTAATTATTTCAAGATTTGTTTTATATCTTATTTTATAATTAAAATAGCTGGCAAACCCAAATTAATAATTTAATCTTAGTGTTAATCCATAGTATTGTCATAGGAAATGAAGATAAAATTGATGACGACTGACGAGGTCAATGGATAGGGGATAGTGGATGCATCTGCTGATATTGTTTTTTCTAATCCTAGAAAGAGTTGTCTCCACAACCCAACAAAACCCATCAACCAATCATCTTCTAAAGGGCATCAAATCCTGTGATCATACATTTTTGGAGTCTTACACTGCTTCCCAAGAAGGATTCTCTTTGTGACTGCATTAAAAGATGACCCCATTCACCCATTTTTTTAATTTGTATGTTCCCTTAGTGGGATTAGTTTACTCATTACTTAATTTTCAAACCAATCTCCACCCTTGATCTTTCATCCCCAAACAAGTCCAAATCAAGGGCTGCTAGCCTGCTATTGTGGGGGACCATGCATTGGTAGCATATCAACCGTTAAAATTAATCAAAAGATCAAAACAATGTTATATCTCTGCGTTCCTTCTGCATGTTACAATCTGAGTTTTAAAATCAAGACAAAAAATTGCTTGTCTGGGAAGACTGAGATCGTGATTAACAAACAATCAAGTCATTGTTTAGGATTAAATTCCCACGAAATCCAAAATCCCCACAATGGCTAGACCCCAAATTAATTAAAATTTAAAAAGAAAAATAAGATAAAATAATATAAGAAAGTGGAATAACAATAGAAACAGTTCATGCTTGGGTTTTTGATTCTTGAATGATGATGATGATTTCTCTAGTTTCCATGACATTTATTTCTGAATGGTGTGCAGTAAAGCTGTACGAAGACATACATCATTTCCCAAAAAGAAATGCACAAAGGCAACTTTACCATGTACTGTCAAAAGTATTTCATCTCTCAAACATAATCCTTCCTCACAAACACGAGTCTGAATGTCTGATCTGAATCTGCATCCACCTTACCCCTTAAATCTTCTGATTTTACTTACAGTCACTGTCAATAGTACATCCCCCTCCCTTGTGTCTTGTTTTCATCAAACCACAAGTTACTACACCCATTACTGCTAACTAGTTGCTTAATCTCCTCGAGACCATAATCTAATGGAGGTTCTACCAGCATCTGATCGTTCGGCTTCTGGCTCGGGGTCCATCCATCAAGCCCACATCCACCGTAGACGTTACCTCCGATCATGAATTTCTGGTTGTCGAAAACATCAGTGTAGGAAAAGCTCTCCAAACCCATTTGTTCACCATTGCCAACACCGCCACCGCCACCGCCGCTGCCACCGTATTCATACTCCATCTCTTTGCCGTAACTGATCTGATTACAACTCCCGTCCGAGGAGCTGCAACTGGGTTCACCTCCGAACATGAGGAGACCCTCTTTCACTTGATAATTGTGCATGGGGCTCATGAAACCGTCTTGGGCTTGAAGAAGAGTACTAGTTGTTGCTGTTGCCGTTGATGTGGTTGTGTAGGTGTTGCAGTTACTCAAAAGATTTGATGGGATTGAAATGGGTTCAAGGCCTACGACAGATTCACTTGGGTTGTAATAAGAACGACTCCCTTGATACGATGACGATGACGACGACAGAGATTGTGAGGGTGATGATACTGCCATTGGAAGATGAGTTGGAAGGGATGGTTGATGATGAGGTGCCTTTCTCTGAGAAGGAGCCATTCCCATGATTTTCTTCTTCAGCTTTGTGTTCCAGTAGTTTTTGATATCGTTATCGGTCCTCCCTGGCAACCGAGAAGCTATTATCGACCACCTGCACTTGGTTGAAATGAGCTCTCCATTAGAAGAAGAAATATCTGAGATTCCCATTAAAATCTCTACCAGAGTATTCATTAAAGATCTAAACTTGTCGTGCATGCAAAAGAGTTGTATACGAATAGCGGATTTTCTGAACTATATATATATATATATATATATATGATTTTTTTTTCTTTTTTTTTCCCGAAAAAAACCATTTAATGCTTCTTTGTTCTTTTCCTCATCTTTTCCCTTCTGTGAAATATATAAATGAATCTCGTTTAACCTTCACATAGGAAGAGAAGGGGAACAGAAAACGGATGATCAGATTAATTTTTGGTAATCGAATTATTAGAAGTGAAAAAAGAAAAAAAAAAACTCTAGCAGAAATGCATTTATATACTGAAACATGAAAATATATTTATGCTACCTGCTTCCAATGCTTGCATAGAGACTCCAGATTATTCTATCTTCCTCATCAGAAAATTCTCCATGTTTTATATTGGGCCTTAAATAGTTCAGCCATCTAAGCCTGCAACTCTTCCCGCACCTCTTCAGGCCTGACAGACAGAAAGAAACCATTCGAGATTACAAACATGGAAGACAGAGAGAGAGAGAGGGAGGGAGCAAATCAAAACCTTTTTATTTGATCAAGAGGATCCTTCTCATACTAACCAGCTTTTTGTGGGAGAGAAATCCAATTCCCACCAGTCCCATATTTCTCTATGAACTCCTTGAGCTTGGCATCTTCCTCAGGTGACCATGGTCCCTTCTTCACGTTTGCCTTGTCGCAGCAAGGAGCCCTCCCCATTTCTCCCCTGAAGCTTTTCTTCTCTGATGGATTTGTCTCTCCTTTCAGACCCTTTTGAGGAATAAATCTAAAATCTTCCTCCCCAAATGGTGCCGGTGGTTGAGTGCCTTTCTTCAGAAGACCTTCTGCGGTGCTGGACAGGAGGATATATATACATATATATATATATATTGAGAGATGCAAGAAGTCAAAAAGGATTGGCTTTTCAATGATTTTAAATATATATGTCTCGCTGATGGCTAATAGAACTTTCTCATCATACTTCATAATTCATATTCATAAATAACCCGTCCCCATATACATTGGAATGGAACCTTACATATCCAGACCCTTACTGGGTCTTTTGATCCCTAGTTCCCTTCTCTTCTCTGACTTTCTCCCTCTCTTCTAAAGAATTCAAAGACTTGTTTGGTGGTGAGACTGAGGCACAACAAGCCTTTTATGAGGCCAAGTCATAGGCAGACCATTGTTGTTTAACTCCCATTCCCACGTATACAGCAAGAAACTCTCTCTCTCTCTCTCTACATAGTCAAAGCTCCATTTTAGTTTAATGGGTCTGTCCTTACGGGCCCACCCACTTCTTTAATATTTTAATGTGGCAGAATAGTCATGGATGCTGATTTAGGCCAGGCCAATAGGGAATAGTCATGGGTCCAACAACCGGGTCGGGTCAAGATCATAGCACGCCTAAAAAAGCAAAGTAAACCAATCATGTTGCCGAACACCCATTGAACCATTGTGCCTAAGACTGGGGGTGATCAGATACATCGACTGTCTGATCCCACCCACGGACGCCTACTTCCGGGGCTGTCCATAACGTCAGAGCTACACTGTCAAATCAATCATCAATTTAACACATATGGACAGTAGGAAACCATTATACCCTACACGGTTGTTGCACATTGGATCATTTTATTTATGTTTCTATAGTGGGCCCTTTTCGTAGAAAGATGGTATATCAGAAGAGGAAAGGCCCAAAAGGACAAATTGTAAAGGACCTCTGCTCTGGGAGATCTTGTTTGCCAAATCATTCAGAGCCCATGGTCCTATCCATCCAACAAGTTGACTTTCATCTGTGGATCTTTTCTTTTTGGGTCATCTCTTCTTTTAATATATATATGTTGCTCTGCATTTTCATGTACAGAGCTCAAGTATTTCAATCTTTTATTGGGCATTAGAGAAACTCCTCAATTTGTATCAAGATAAGAACAAAATAGATAATGCATTAATTCTTTGCAGTTTTACCAATGTCTCTGATTTTTGTTTTACATGGTCAAAAATCAAAATGTAGTGGGTCCTGCCCAATTCAGCTTCAGCCCGATACAACCATCGGACCAGTCCAACTTTCGTGAAACATTGGGTTGAAGTAACTGCTGATTAACTAGGTAGAATAGACACTGTTTTATTGATGCATCACAGGCCCAAGAATATTCGAAAGTTGTCATCTAAGGGTAAGGGGCAAAGCAATGGTTGTGTGGGCCAAGCCACTGGCCAGCCTCACGCCGTCGACTCCGGCCCATCTTTCATCTGGCCATACCTGTAGCTAGCTGATAGGGTGCATGGCTTAGAAAAAGAAAGAAAGGCAATCACCAGCAGTCAGCTTGGAGCCTTGGACGACCCATAAAGCCACAGGAGTGTAGGAAAACTAGTCTAATCGTACTAGCTAGGGTTGACAGTACAGAACAGACATACCCTACACTCTATGACTGATTTAAAAGGTGTTGATGCAAGTAAAATCCAACCACCCTAAATGATCACTATATATCCATACCAACCCATTCAAGGGGTGGCCCACCAATGAATAAAAGGTGGGCCATGCAATTGTATGGAAATGTAGCATAGCCCATTTACAGTTTTACTTACACGCATCCTGATCCTTGCTTTTATATATATTCATCATATGTAATAAAAACAACCTCATATGATCATATCACATTATTTTCGGTAGTCTTGTTAAGGTCTAAAAGGAAGCTGCCCCACACGGTCACAATTTGGTGTATTAAAAATGTCCAAAAATAAATTGAGGCTTTGATTAGTTGATTGATACACTAATGAATTGTATTTTGTTCCGATTAAAATATGTAACCGAAGCTTCTAGGGAGTAAAACTGGGTCCCATCTATTTTAATCTTGATCTACTCGTTGGTTTCCTGGTTCTATATATATTGGAAATTTGCGGCGTCTAACACACAATTCAACCATGACGTTTTAATACGTGTTACATTATTCCTAAAGGTGGCATAAATTCATGGTGTTCCATTCCATTTTCCAATGTATCTCAACTCAAGTACGCTAGCTATGTTTGTAATTGTAACATGCCAAATGGGACCAAACAAAGATAAGAAAAGCTTAGATGTTCACAGTATCAGAACCCTCCATTGAATGGGTATGAGTCTCATTTAGAAGGTCAACTGGGTCCAAAACCGACTTTTTGTTTTTTTTTTTTGTTTCAAAATGAAGAGATCTTCGTTAACTGGTCGTAAAAAATAGAAATAATTACATGAGAAGATCGTCTAGAGTGGAGTTGTTGTTTTTAACGTTTTTTTGTTCATACACATATATACATTTAAAAGGTAGACAAGCTTTTCATCTGATGTTGCTTTATTTGTTGTTGCTTTATTGGGGGACCTCATCCTTTAGAGCTTTATTGTGGGTCCAAAACATGACAACTTATAAGAGCTTTATTATAGACCTCAACGTACAATATCCAACATAGTGATTTCTTTTATTTTTCAAATGAGCTGTGTTGTGTTTATTAGGCTCATATGATGATGACACACGAAGAAGACTTGGTATACATGACTTGATTAATGGGACCCAAACGGTAATGCCACACATCCGTCATATATAAAATGCATGTGGTCTATATAACCAACCACTCAATCTCTGATCACACATTTATGGCCGGCACCAATATCGGAAAAGTACGGACTGGTTCAATGTAGATTAATGAATTCTAGTGCAGATCTATAAACATTCAAAATATCAAAAATTCCTATTTTATACATCAATGCCCATTCTTAAATTGGTATCAATTTCCAACTGGCACTTACTTCAACTCTTCAACTATACTTTGGGTATAAAAATTCTGACCCTGAACTGAACCTTCATTGTCCCTATTTTCATTAGTCTCACAGCCTACTATTCAATCATTGCTAATCTGAATTCCATCAAACAATGACTCCCTTGATTTATGTTCTCGAATGCTAAGTCATTGTTCTATTACATATGCTGGACGTGCTAATTGGCTTCTCCCACTTGAGGGGTGATATGCTTTGCTTCTGATGATGATTATTAATGAAGTACATCTGTTCATAGGCGGGGTAGCCCAATTATCTGGACCGACTATGGTTGGATCTGAACATATTATTAGGCCCGTTGACCCAGACTCGGGCCCTATTATCTAAGCCCAACTTAATTTTGGGCCGGGTCAGGATTTTACCTTAGGGATATATTAGGCTGACCTAATTTTAGTTCACACCAACCTAAATTTTACCTTGGGGTGAGGGTTCAAGTTGAGCCCTTGGAGGTGTTCTTTTTTTTTTTTTTAATTTACTTTTTGAATTTTGAGAGGGGGGAAAATTGGTCAATGGAATTTTGATTCCCATTGATCAAGAAACTAATGTTTTTTTTTAGATTTATGTGGGGATTAGGGAAGTTTATTTTCTTGGTGGGTAAATAACTTTCCCCCTAATAACACTTGAATGGGACAAAAATGCCCCTTTTAATAATAATTTATTATGGCTAAAATGGCTATTGCCTTATTTACCTTAGAAATAAAAGAACATGGGTAAATGCACTTATCCGGATAACTCTTTTCAATGAAACGCTTACCTGGACAAATAACTTACCAAAAAGTGAATGCGGCCCTTGTGTATCATGTTTATGTTATTTACTGGGAGAAAAAAATAATCATCAAAAATAATATGTAAAGACTGTAATTAACAGGGTGATTGTGAATTTGTGATCATGGAGGTTAATTTGAGTCTCCATAGGTCTAGGATGAGAAGAAGTGACTGTAAAATTAAGCTCTTCAAGTTCCATTTGTTTGCAGCACAAATCTGAAATGGATACAAATTTTGCATTTGGTTCAGCTTTGCATCTATTTGTTAGTCATTATGATTTGCAGTCCTACATAATGCAAAGTTTATATCTTTTCTCTCTTCTGCACTCATTGGCAATACAAATTCGGCATCCTAAAAACTGATGCAAATTTTGCACCACCTTCTTCCCACCTCAGTTCTCCCTCCTATATATAAACTGGGGGACCACATCATCTTGCTTCATATTCACTGCAAAACGGAAAAAAAAAACCCTTCTATCTCTATTCACTTTCATAAAAAGATAGGCCCATATAATTTAGATTTGTATTTTACTTCTACAAAATCAAATCTGAATCAAAATAAAGCAAAATTTATATTCAGCCTATTTGCACTTCCATACATTTACACCGGTGCAAACAAAGTTCGCCCTGTGACACCAAACTGAGCCTCAGGGCATGATTTCTAAACCTATGCCATCCTACTTCTAATCTAAAAATATATATTTCTGGGACTACTTGTGAACATAATTAAGTGAATCATGTCCTTTTTATTATTGACTATTGTATGCTTATTTTTATATTAGGTTGTATTTTAATAGGCATCTCACAAAAAAAATGGTATCAAAGCATCCTAATAGCCAAGCAGGGTTGGGGCCCAGAGAAAATCTGAGTTATACAATGCATGGTTAGATAATTGAGATGTCAGTCATACAAATAATTTGATTTTCAGAAGTATGCCAACAGTTGTATGCTGTTGATGGTCCTGACTTGTCATACTAGGGTTTTTCCATGTGGCAATTAATTGAGGAGAGGAATATTCTGGGCTTAAGCTTTACAAATTATCTTATCAAGTATAAAAAAGCAAAGCATGGATGCTTTGTAAAGATTCCCAGATTCAAATTTATATACAATTCTTAAAAAAGAAGTCTGTTACCTGTCAACACATGCATTCTCATTCACACATTATATTTTTCTCACATTACAATGGATTCTTCCTACTAAAGTTGCAACCCTTTTCATCAACTTTTCCTACTACCATAAAGCCTTTAATTACAACAAGACAAAAAGTCTTAAACCATGGTCCACGTGTCACCCCAACAACCCGTTTCAGACCTCTTAA